TCAAGACAGCATACAATGAACTAAGCAGGTTTACGATCTCACTTATGCACCATTCATCGTTCCCGTGATCTTCCGCACAGACATTGACATATGCAGGGACGCTTAGCTAAGCATGCCACAAAACTCTCTAAGTTATACGCACGATCACGTGCTGAATGAGAAACGCCTGCTGTGCAAGCGATATTCTATATCGCAAATAGAAAACGAACTTCGCAACAAACGGGAAATCAGAACGTTGCTTCGTGTAGTGTGGGTGTGTAGGAATGAAACCCAGGGTTAAGTCACATGATAGGGCAGTGGAGAGGTGCGGGGTGGGCAAAATTCTGACTTCTTCTAGAACTGACAAACATTACGCCTAAGACTGGCTATTAGTTACACGTCCATCAAGGACCCTTCCAAAGGTATCAACCCATGTCTGAAGAAAGGCTCTACTAATTGACTCCCAGAAATGTGCCACTGGGAGATAGAAATCTGCAGCGATTGCAACGGAGAGATCGGCCGCCAATGCAGGGTTCCTTGTACTGACCTTCAACATGCGGCCTACACCAATGGTTCAACCGTAAATGTTATCAGGACAAAGTGTGGGCCGTGTAGCCTTGCAACGCCTCCGGACACATGAGATCCTTTTACAATTCAACCGACGCGGAGGAAGAGGGAGCAAGAGCGTAAGGTGGACAGCGGACAGCGGTGCGCGGGTTGGTATACGTCGGCACTTTCCCATTAGTATGATCAACGAAGAAAGGTGGCTCGCACCCATATCCCACATTGTCGTGGATTTTTCGAAGTTGTTGGTTGACGTGTATCTGTAAAGGTCGGCCCTCATACCGTGCCGTCTCCTTTTTCTTGGATAGTCTGACCGTGATCACCGGGAGGTCATTCTCGCCTCTCTTATGTGCGGTGTTCAAATTGTAATTATCATTGAATAGATCGAATATAAAGAACGTAACAGCTCCCCACATCTCTTTCGCCATGAATCTGTAGTCGTTCGCCGTGAAAGTGCGATCTTTTGAATCCAAAACCTGCTGGGAAATGAGCGAAAGCGCCGCTCCGATTACTTCTGCATCAGTCTTTGACCAATAGCGGCTAGACTCTTGGATTATGATGAAAACTCGTGTGGGTACATTGCTCATGTCCATTTTGGTCGGCAAGTCCAGGGGAAGGGTTCGAAGATACAAAGACTGGGACAGATCAGCGGGATTATGACTACAGAGAAGAATTGGGTCTACCTCTTTTTCCTCGTTCGCAATCTGAGATTCAGGTATTAGGGTAGAGTGACTTGTCCTTGGGGAGGCTTGCGGGCTGAGCTTCGTTTCAGCGTGAGGCCCAAACCTGGAATGGCGTGAATGTGGTGGTGATATGAGAGGAAATCTCGATTATGGTATATCTATGTTAAGAAAAGTAGAAGGTCAATCTGCGTTTTACGATCCCAAAGTCCTGCAAGCTATGAGGCAGAGTGGCGGGCCATGAGGCGGTTTTAGGAGTTGCAAACACTTAGACGGAGTTCTCTTTATGCGGGATGAGTAACATTTACTGAAGGGCACGTGAGTCGCTAGACGAGCACTTTTTCAGAATAGTATAACGTAAGCACAGTAATCAAAAAAAACATCACAACAGCGAGAACCCGAATCATTGAAATTGAGTAGTACTATCGTACAGACACGTCACTCTGGACAAATTGAGATCGTTAGCCTTTGCAGCGCGTCACCCAACGCGTGTGGAACACGAGATGACGATCCCTTGGCCCCAGGAGGTGACATGGCCGACACCG